AGAGTGAATCCATGGAAAGGCGTGAAATGTGTATGGACAATCTGGAACAGTTGCTTTGTACCTGCACCAAGAATTTTTAATGAAGAGATGTCTACAGCTCGGATAACTTCAACAAGCGTACAAGTTATGCTTGAACTGATGCACCACCTTAAGGTTCGTACATACAAAGAGGACCTGTGGATTAATGGTTTATAATAATAATGTGTTTCAGGAGAGAAGATCACAATATTCTATGTTATACATGTCAGTATGTTTTCAGTAGTCAGACACAGTGTGATCATATAAATCAGTGGTCCCCAACCTTTTTATCACTGCGGCCCGGTCAACGCTTGGCAATCTTACTGCGGCCCGGGGGTGGGGGTGTACGTAGATTGTTTATATTGTAAATATAATAATAAACGTGAATCCTCATATGCAACCTCATATGCAACTTTATTAGCAGCTTCCTCGTAACATTGCGCCAACAATATAACATGAGTATAACATCAAAGTCTCTAGTAACATCCTCTCTGCCACTCAAAAAAGGAGATCCCCTACAACTGAACTGCTCAGCTGTGGGAAACCCCAGGCCGTCGTACACCTGGACGCTCCCGCTGGCTCAGCCTTCCTCCTTCAATGAAAGTGTTTTCGCTGCCACATCTGTAGGTTTTGAGCATGAAGGGCAGTACAACTGTACTGTCGAAAACGTCTTTGGGAGTGCAGTATAATGCAGTATAATGTACATGTCATAGGTGAGTTTCATGTGAGGGCATGTCCAGTGTTCAGGGTTATGAGTGTCATGTTTGGAAAGTGAGTCAGAGAGTAACAACCACATTATTGCTCTCAGCATTGCTTCCTCACAGCAGCTACAAACTAACTAGTCCATGTGAAATCAAGAGGGAAGTTGTGACTGTTTTGGTGTCTGCTACTGACTGACATATAATACTCTCTGTTCTTTTTTCTTTACCCATACCCCTCACCCTCCTTTCTCTAGCTGACTACACACCATACATTATAGTCTTTGCAGCAGTAGTTCTGGTTGCTGCCTGTTTGATAATAGGATTCATGCATTATTACAAAAACCATCAAATGGGACAGAACAACCTAAGGTACAATTTTTGTCTTCAGAGAAGACATGTTGCCGTGCCCGCTGAAGAGTGAATCCATGGAAAGGCGTGAAATGTGTATGGACAATCTGGAACAGTTGCTTTGTACCTGCACCAAGAATTTTTAATGAAGAGATGTCTACAGCTCGGATAACTTCAACAAGCGTACAAGTTATGCTTGAACTGATGCACCACCTTAAGGTTCGTACATACAAAGAGGACCTGTGGATTAATGGTTTATAATAATAATGTGTTTCAGGAGAGAAGATCACAATATTCTATGTTATACATGTCAGTATGTTTTCAGTAGTCAGACACAGTGTGATCATATAAATCAGTGGTCCCCAACCTTTTTTATCACTGCGGCCCGGTCAACGCTTGGCAATCTTACTGCGGCCCGGGGGTGGGGGTGTACGTAGATTGTTTATATTGTAAATATAATAATAAACGTGAATCCTCATATGCAACCTCATATGCAACTTTATTAGCAGCTTCCTCGTAACATTGCGCCAACAATATAACATGAGTATAACATCAAAGTCTCTAGTAACATCCTCTCTGCCACATAAATAAATTATTTTAAAAAATTCACGTGGAAAAATAAATAAATGACAAGAACCAGCAATTCCACATTTCTTTCTCTATTATCTAAATATACCTACACAACATTTTTATTTTTTTTTATATTAAACACTCCATGAATGTTATTTTTCAACAGCTGAAATAAAGTTGCCAGTTTGAACCGTCAGATAAGGCTCCTGCATGTTTGAACGTAACATTCCTGTTTGTTTTCTGTGTAATTAGTTTGTGAAAAGTCTCCACTGACATGACTTTGTTGGTATTTAATTCCAAAGGTGTGCAAGTCATTTTTCATACACGGAACATAGTATATTTGGTAGTACATAGTCATCCACATACATGTATATGTATACAGTATTTGAACATGAACTAAACTGTATTGAGATTTAAAACTAGCAGCACTTTACAGCCTCTTTTAAGCTACTTTGTGCAAACAAATAAATAAAATAACAGAATAACCATGCAAAAGGGACTCTGCTAAGCTCTGCTAAGCCCACCCCCCCTTTGACGGCATTAAATAAATAAAATAACAGAATAACACCATGCAAAAGGGACTCTGCTAAGATCTGCTAAGCCCACCCCCCCTTTGACGGCATTGTTATGCCACTATTAGGTTTAAACTTGAGCAGTTTCCTGCTACATATTTATAATTCTAGCACTATAGCTGGCCTTCATCCTCTGCACACCTATGTGAGTGACGACAGCAGCACGAAGCATCAGCTGAGAAGACATTTACATTTTGCATGCACCTAGTAAAACTCCCAGACAACGTTGGCACTGACCCGAGCACCCCATTTGGCCTCTTGACATATACGGTACAAACCGATAAGGTCTCTGAGACCTTGGGTTGTCACTTTTTATTTAGAAGTATGTAGCTGTTACAAGTGAAAAGTCCTTCTGTCCAGCTCCTACTGTGGTCGGCAGCGCCATCTTAGGTCTGTCTGGAGTCGGACAACCCGTGAACTACTTGTAGATGGAATGAAGATCATTATTGGGCTTTTGTAAATTACAGTGTGTGTCAGTACTGGTCACACTGACCCCTGGCTTCTCAGAGTGAACCAGGATTCTGTTGAGTTGGATTAATTGAAATCAAAGCCCAACCAAGCTTTGCACAATTGGGCCTAAATTGATTAGGACTGCAACTGATTGTGTTCATTGATTTATCTGTCAAATATTTTCTTAATTAACCAATTAATCTTTTAGTATATGAACTGTGAAAAATGATCATTTTCCAAAGCTGTTGTGTGTACTTAAATGTTTACTTTTAGTTGTTAGACTCTCTCTTTAAGTTGCATTGTAGAACCTGTAAAATAAACCAGGCTTAACTTTCACTGTTCACAAACGGTTTGTGTGTAATTTATTAACTTTTCCACTGGTCACTGCCTCGTTTCTCCATCTCGTGCTTCACTTGCATAATTAATTGCTGGGTTGCTCTCGCTCTCTCTCTCTCCTTCATAATTAATTGGTGGGTTTGATTTAGTGGTCTGTGCAGGATTTTTTGAGGCAAAGCGTCTCTGCGCGGTCACTTTTGTAAATAGAAAACAATCAGCGCAGGCCCAGGGCATAAATCAAATCTAGATAATGGCTGGGCTTGTAAAAGCCGGTGTAGCGTCACAGCTCCAGGGCAGAACTGCTTGTGTGTGTGTGTGTTTCCAGTCAGTGTACAGCATTGTGTGGCTGTAATGATAACAGACACATCATTTCTTGATTTGTGGATGTTATGATAATTTTGAAAAAGCATTGCACAAGCACAGGTTTAGTTCCTGAATGTTAGCGGTGATCATCGAAGGCTGATACTTTGTGTCAGTGTCCGTCTTGTGTAGTTTTTAGTCAACTGACTAAATAGCCTGTCTCTGGCTGTGTGTCTGTTAGTAGACACACAGATACAAAGTGACGATGTTTTCTCTAGGACTGATCACAGGGGGCCTATTTTTCACCCCTTTCTGACATTTTATAGGCCAAATGATAAAACAGCTAATTGAGGAACAATGGCACATTAAGCAGTGATCTTCAGTTGCAGTTTTACTGTGTTGTGAGTTCATTTAAGTCTTATTTGAATAGCACCAAATCACAGCAAAAACCATTTTAAGGCAATTTACATAAAGAAAATCACAACAAATCCTCCCTGAGCAGGCATTTGGTGACAATGGGGCTCTTGGTGGGTGTGGACCTTCAAATCTAGACGGTGGCTTTCCAGCTCAGATGGACACATTTCTGATTTACACTTTGAAATGGATTAATGTATTGCATGCCCTTGAATAAAAAGGACAGTCGGTAGGAACGGGAGAAAAAAGGGCAGTGAGTAAAAGAAGACATGAATCCTTATTGTGATTTTATACCGGGGAGACCGGGAAGGAATGTAACACTGGGTAAGTGTTAAACTGCCAGTCAGAAAAGGGCTGCGGTGATGTCACTATCAAAAATTCCCATTTTCTTTTTGAGTTGACAGTAGAAGTGGCATGTCTCTGTGAACAACACTGAATTTTATTAACAAGAAACAGATTTTCAGATGAAAATAAACTTTTATTAAGATTATTGTAACTAGTTTTCATTGTATTGTAAATACAATGGTTTGACTTGTATAATCGAAAGCAACAGTTTGTCTTGTTCCATCCCCAGGGGTGGAGTAGGACGTAACAACAAAACTCTTTGCATTTGACTTTAACTCACATAATCTGTGATTGTGTAGTTGTCATCCAAGTGACAGACAAATATGGGTTTGAGAGATTTGGCACAAACAGCCACAGAGTTACTGATGCTCAAACAGAAGGCGTTAGAATCGTCCCCTGGTCTCCCCAGTGTAGCTCTGGTGTCAGCAACTGGGATCAGACACATCCCAGTTTGTCACCAGCTAATCCTGACTGGTGGGCAGGGTCAGTATTGGGGTGGGTGGGGTTAAAGCTACATGTTAAGTTGTTTTAATAGAGCCTATGTTTTTGAAGCTATAGCTGGTTTCAGGCCTGTTTCCTGGTGTGTGTGTGTGTGTGTGTGTACATGTATGTATGTGTGTATATACACATGAGCCATGTGCTCTATTAGCAATGTGCTGAGTGTGTGTGTGTGTGTGTGTGTGATGGACAGGAATGACGCCTGACTTCTGAAGCAGAGAATCGACGTGTGGTTGCTAATAAGAGAAAAAATAAAAGGCACTGCCGGAGAAGTGCCGACGGAGAGAGGAGGAGCGGAGCCTATTGTATGGGATTAATGGACACAGTGTACGGGTGGAGGGAGGGGAAGGGAGATGGGCTTCTCCACAAAGGCTATAGTGGGGGTGTGTGGCTGGGGGAGACCACTGGCACGGGAGAGGAGAGGCAGGGAGGGAGGGAGGGACGGGAAGCTGGTGAAGCCGAGGATATTCATGAAGACCCCGAGTGTTTCTTCTCTCGCCATGGTGACACACCGCGGAGAGACCGAGGAGACAGAGACAAGTGGAGGTGAGACGAGGCCCAGCCCATCTTTGCATTGATCTTGAGACGATCAAGGTGAGTGTGTTTTTATTCTTATGCGCTGCAGCCTGAGTGTGTGTGTGTACGTGTCTGTCCGACATCTCTTGCAGTGTGAGTGCAGACAGACATAATAGCAGGGCAGTCCTCGTGTGTGTGCACGGTTTCAGTGTGTATTTATATATCTCTGGGTCTTTTTGTTGATGCATTGCTGCTTGGTTTTATAAGCTACTTGAGTGGAGGTGGTACTGGTGGCAGCCATGGTGTGTGTTCCCATCTCATTGTGCATATATATATATGTCACTGTGTCACTATGCATTTTGCTGATTTCTCCAAATAGACCTGGTTTTAGTCTGAATCTGTGCAGACTTTGGCGTGAAAGTCCTTTCATTGAGGTGTTCTTGATGATCCTGGTGAAAGTCGACTCCTCTCTCTGTGTACCAGCTCAATCACTGATATGCTCAATATGTCCTATCCAATAAAATTAGGTCACCTCGGACTGCTCGGTAATTATATAACATCGGAGAGCTTTGGCGTTGCAGTCTCTGCCCAGAATCAGCCTCACTGGAGGTGCAGCTCCTGCAGGGGCCAAGACGGGAAAAATATTTTGTTAGCGCTGCCCTCTTCATTGGGCCAACTTGTTTTGGATACTAATCAATAAATTGGGACCTTTTTTTGTATCTCATTGCTTCACTGTTTGTTACACTCATAGTTGCTGTGGAAAACAATTGGAATTTGTACTGTATGTATGGGTAAAGGATACTCTCACATCTAATGTTGCTTCAGATGACTTCATTACGAGAGAACAGGACAGCGAGTTCCAACCGGAGGAGGGAGAGATGAGTCAAAGAGAAAATCAGCTGAGGATCTTTGAATCCTGGTCATACTAACTCTTAATGTCTGTTTTCTCACAGGGAAACTGCACCAAAGAGGACACATTGAGACAGGTTCAAGGATGGATTTTGGCAAATCAAAGCTGGACTTTTGACATCTAGACTTCTCAGATGAGCCCATCATTTTTACTACTTCTTTCTATGCAGAATTTGAATCCAACTGACCGGTCATACACTGGAACGCTGACCTGGGACGGGAGAGACCTGTTGCAAATTCTTCTGTAATTCATTTGGATTTTGAATTTTAATCAGTAGAAATTTGCATCCATATGGGACCAGGTTTACAAAAGGACAACATCGTGCCAACAATACTAAAAGTTGGATAAATTTCAGAAGGGACATCATGAACTCTGAACGGGATCTCCCATTGGCTTCTCTGGCCGAAGGCGACATGCAGCCACTAACTTGTAGCTTTTACTAAAATGGAGTGAGAATTTAGATTTTTCTTTTCCTTTGGCTTATAAAGAATAACAGATCAGAGCAACCTCTGAACCCTCAGCCTCTCAGGGGTATGTAAATGGTCCTTTACTGATCTGCAGCAGGAGGACTCTGTTTCAGCCCGTCTGAAGACTGTGTGTGGACAGAGCTCGAGCAAAGCGTTTGGCTGGCTGAGTTGGTTCCAATGGGGGCCGGTTGTGACCCGGTCTGACCCCGGTTTGACCTTGCAGTGACCTTTGACCTCTCCGGTCCTGGCTCTCCACCTGCTCTGCTGCCTGGGTTCGGGAACGCTCCGTCCTGGGGCCCAGAACGAGCCAATCAGAATGAAGAAGAGCCGCAGCGTGCTGTCGGTGACTGGAGAAGAGGTGAGAATAAAAACAAAGAAGGAAATATGTGAGAAAATAATGTCACTTGTTTCTAAGAGAGTACACGCTAGGCAGAGCAGACTGTCGGACTGGACTGTGTGTGTGTTTCTTGAATTAAACTTACATAACGTAATTTACCAACCCTTTGACTTTCACACATCCAGACTCCCTTTTGTTTTTGCCCTCACGGTCTGTGGATGCACTTAGAAGTCAGACTGGACAGTTTCTCTCTTCCAGCCACCACTTGCACTGTGAGACCCACTCAGTCAGTCACAGTCCTCTATGTAAATGAGCCCCAGCCAAACGAGTGTTTTATGTAAATGAGCCGTTTTCTTTTAAAGGTAACGTCTTGGCTGGAGGACATAATACCATCCATTACTCGGGCGCTCGTTTGTTTTTTATGCCAAGCGGATGCCCGTTCAGATGTGGGTGTGTGTGTGTTTATGTGTACGTGGATGTGAGCATCTTTCCACATCTGGTTCTGGACGACATCAAACAGCATGGAAGCAACACGGCACTGTTGCCTAGCAACTGCTACCATTCCCCCAGTGTTTTGTTGCTACGTACTGCAGTGCAGATCAGCCTTCAAGAGTCTGTAGAGGCCTTTTCCCAGACACACACACACACACAATCGCACGCATCCAGACACACACATGTTATAATTTAAAGACAGCTGTATGTAAATTTTTTTTTAAATCACCAAATCTGAATTTTTATTACTTGATTCACAATACAATGCTTTTATAAATAACAAAGTGTTTTTAATACTCTGAAGATGCTTCACCTCCCTGTTTCTTCACCTACTCTGTCCTTCCGGTCTCAAAGGGCAGCGACGCAGATATAACAGGTGCTGGGGGGAAGGCGGAGTCATCTCGTTACAGCCAGTCTTACACGTCTGGGGCTACGCTGGGGGCTGAGCTACACCAGGGGAGGAGCAGAAGACTCTCATCTAGTCTCCAGGTATCGAAAGGAAGCATGGTGCTGGCAAAAAATGAGCCACGGGAGCCTGTGGACAGCAACTCTTCCTGTTTGCGCATTACATATGTAAATCATTGGCTCCAAGTAAACACAGATTTACTCAGGAGCATGGGCCATGTCAGTATATACATTTAGCATGCTTTAGTCTATTTACTACAATTCTCTTATACTTTATATTTTAGCAAACTATTCTGAAAATCATGTCGCCATTTGTATTTTTCCTATCAAGGCATAGATCTATCTGTATTTGCTTTGATTTGCACAATATAAAGCCATAGTTGAGCTATGTAATCCATCACATCGTACGCCAAGTCTGTGTCTCATTCCAAATCAATCTGCATTTAAAATACACTATAGAACCAGGTCACACAGAGAAAATGTAATGCAGGCTTGATGTTTACTGTGATAGATTTGGTTATTATCCATCATTTACAGGGCGATAAACAGCGTACAAACTGCTGTACACCTGCAGATCAACTTGTCTTGTGTCTTCTCCACAGGTACCCTGCTGGCTCCGTCCTCGAGATCGCACTCGTTCACCAGAGTCCCTCAGCAATGTGTCGCGTCCAACAACTCTTCCCCTTCGGATCCCACCGCGCATCTCCATCACACATGCAGACTCTGACAGGTTTACACTCTAATACCTTCCTACCTTTATCCTTCCAGGAAGCTTAGCAGGTGTGATTTCTGTCCTCCATTCTCCTGTTGCAGTTATGAAGCAGAGAATGGCGTGTCACCAGGTCACACCCCTTTGGGCTCGCAGAGTCCCAGCCTCACCCTGCACACCTCCTTCCCCCAGGGCCAGAGAAGAGAGTCTTTCCTCTACCGCTCGGACTCAGACTACGACATGTCGCCCAAGACGGTGTCACGGAACTCCTCCCTCGTCAGCGAAGGGTGAGGCTCAGGAAGACAGACAGACTGAGGGAGGGAGAGCATGAATGCATGGACCTAAATGTCAGTGTTAACGTAAAACCTCTGGTCCCTTGCTCTCATTTCCAAATCTTTCAACTGTCCCTCCCTCTCTCAGGCACCCAGCAGAAGACTTCATTGTCACACCTTTTGCTCAAGTGAGTTTTACTCTATAGATTATCTGTATCATATCTGTATGAGTGGTCATATGTTGTAAATAATGTAAAATGT